AAGGGGAAGGGGGAAAACCTCACACACACGGGCCATGGGAGCTTGAATCCAGGACCACTTCAGAACACACAAAAGTCCTGAACCAATCCAACTAACACCCCTTGGTGAATTTTGAATTATTCACCAATTGATTCTATTGGTTATATTTTGAAACAAAGTACGTTAGTGTTTAAATTTCGAAAATTGTATAAGACCTTTGAGCAACTCCCGAACAAAACAAAAGTACGAGAATAAAAATAGAACTTAACATGATAATGATAAGTGCAAACAGAGCTTAACATTATAAAACTTTCATTCTTAATGCCCAATTTACAAATTTATGAAAAATTTAGGGAAACCCTATAGAGTGTTGTGTGTTCAATCCTCATAACAAAGAACAACATAACTTTAGCCAAAGAGAAGAAAATTAAACATAGAAATAAGTATAACATGTGAGTTATTGCCAGCCCCCCTTTGAGCTCTGTACAAGTCAAATTCAAGGCAATAAAAGAAATATCATACAATGGCAACATCAAACTTTTAGACTAGGAATATGAGTGAACCACAGTTGGACAACAAACTAAGCATATCATAACCCCCTCATCTGTGTATCTTCCCCCTCTCTCTCTCCCACCAACCCTGTGGTATTTTTCGTCATCATCTTAAGAGTCGCTTGAGGGGCTCACCCGGATAAAGGATCCTCGGCTCTGGCTGCCAACTATCACGTCTTTAAGTCGAGATATGGGGCCAAACATCCTTCCTGTTTTCTGTCGAGATGATGAAATAACAATGTCAGTGTCATTAAAAAATGGAAGGTCTAGGGTGAAACAAAGTGGTGCAAATGAACCAATGAGCGTTGGTGTGCACAATACGCTACTGCTAAAAAATGCAATTGTATGACCATACGATAGAAACAAAAGAACAAAAACCCACACGAGTTAAACTAACATCATGAAGTAACACATCTACGACATTTCATGATACGCTAACATCATAAAGTTTCACGGCATACACAATAAACGTCACATACTATTGAAATTACAAACTGTTATTAGATTGATTTAAATTCAGTAAGTATTTGCTATTTAAAATCCTAGATGGGAGGATGTGATTAGCCATTCAGTAAGCAAAAAGTTATGTGATAACCAACAAGAGAGATCAGGCAAAGGAAAACCGACAAACATAAGATGCATCAATTCCTTGACCAGAAAAAGAAGAGTGAAAATTGAAACATATTCATAATAGAAAACAATAGCAATCAACAAACCTGATCATTGACGCTCAACTGCCACTTTTGTTGTAGAGCCTGCCACCTCTCATTCTGCCACCGCTGCCCAAGTAACACAAGCCCCATCACAGCTGCTGCTACAAAAATAGACCAATATGCATTTGCTTCTTTTGCATGACAATACAAGGAAGCAGCTCTTCTTTTCCACCACGCTCCACAGGGCAGGCCAGAAACGTCAAATTTATCATCATGCGGTGGCCTTGGGGATTGTGAGATGTCCTCAGAAGAATCTAAACCTTGTTCTGAAGGTTCAATACGTCCAGGAAGAGCAGTGCTCTCACCATATGGGGTTCAACCACCAAGAGCTGTTTCACCATCTAAACTATATTTAGCAGCATCATATATAGTCTGCTCTTTGTCAGCCATAGACCCTTCCAGTGTAGCGCCTTCTTCAAAGTCTGCACCACCAATGGATAGCATATTATCCTTCTCTTTTGAAAACGGCATTCCTTCTAAACTATATTTAGCAGCATCATATATAGTCTGCTCTTTGTCAGCCATAGACCCTTCCAGTGTAGCGCCTTCTTCAAAGTCTGTACCACCAATGGATAGCATATTATCCTTCTCTTTTCAAAACGGCATCCCGTAAACTCATCCGGAACATTCAACCCTTTCAAAGTCAAAGTTTCTTCCTCCTTTCCACTGGACCTACCACCTTCAATACCTATCTCAGCCTCAGTTACTGCATCCTTGTCCACATGTTCATCATGAATTTTGCTGCTGTCAGTCTCCACAGGCAAATTCTCATGCTGACTGGGTGGAAAAACAAAGTGACCAGACATGAACAGAGCATGAGAAGTCTCCGCTTGCTCTCCATAGGTATTGATCTTGCCGTCATTGTTCAGTTCAACTCCTTGTGGACCAGGAGAAGCAGCATATGTTGATTCTGTAAGTGAGACAACTTCCCATCCATTCCCACGAGCAGTACTTTCCTCTACCTCCTCATTATCTGCCATCTTAAAGGAAGTTTCCTATTTCACATTTATAAGGCCCAAGTAGACACAAAGTAACCAAAAAGAAAAAACCCATCAGAATGCCGTAAAAAGAGATACAAATCAAATCAATTCTTATCTTCAGGTCATGAGAATGTCTCGGTCACAACACATTTACACAGTAAAATGCATGCAGAACATTACTTTAAAGCAAAACTATCTTGTGTATGATCAAGCAACTTTCTTTTGGGTCAACAACAATGAATTAAAATGACTTAAACCACACTTAAATAAGAACAAAAAGTTCATACATAATCTATTTTTGGCCACTAAAATAGTAATTTCTATGGATTTCATTTCCACAGGACCTAACAACTTGGATTGGTGCAAATAGGTATCCAATTCAGACTTTTCTTGCAAAGGACCCATTTATTCATATACAAAAGACAATATCATTTTAAGGTTGTTTGATTTCAGATTTAATTTATTCTTGTTTAACATAAGGGTTTTTATCTCGAAACGTCCATGTGGTTCACGAAACTATTAATCCTTTATGCGGGGTTAACATGAACGTCAAGGACGTTTTGTGATTGGAAAAAAACCCCTTAACATAATTCTAGTCTCTTCTCAAACTTGTTGGGACTGGGAGGCTCAATGCATATCTAAGTAGGAGATAATTTGCTTGCAGATTATATCCAGGTGTTCCTGATGCTCTAAAATTTGCAAGCTCAACCATATACATTGTCACCACAAAACAGGTGTGAGTATCTTTGTTTTCTCTTTCTGAAACAATCCAATTAAAGACTGAAAATGTTGTGGTTGCTGTAAATGTGAACTTTTGCCCTTTGTCATTCTCTCACTTTCTTATTTCCTGTTCTTCCTTCACCTATTGCAGAGCCGATTTGCTGATGCTTTACTGCGAGAACTTGCAGGAGTTACAATACCGCCTGAAAGAATATTTGGTCTTGGTAGTGGGTTAGTGGAAATTAACTTGATTTCAATCTGTGTTTGATTTTTTTGGTACTTATGCCTGTGGTTGGTTTTCCCTAATGTGGAACTTTACCCTTATGTATTGAATTCCTCTTCCAGTCCCAAGGTAGAAGTATTGAAGCAGCTTCAAAAGAAACCAGAACATCAGGGGCTGAAACTGCAGTAAGATACTTTTCTGCTTCGTATTTGAATTTTTTTTGTAAGATACTAAATGCTCAGAATTTTCGATAATATACGCTCAACATTGACCAGCTTTGTCGAAGATCGACTGGCAACCCTAAAGAATGTGATCAAAGAACCTGAATTGGATGGTTGGAATTTGTATCTAGGTAAAATTTTCCGTTTACCCTTATTAAACACAGACTCTTTAACTTGTCTATTATATTGCTGTATGTGCTTCATTGTGGTAACCATTCGCTGCGGTTGCTAATTTGGGATGAATTGGATCAGGGGATTGGGGGTACAATACACAGAAGGAGAGGGAGGAGGCAGCTACAATTCCCAGGATTCGGATCCTTGAGCTTTCTGACTTCAGTAAGAAGTTGAAGTAGCTGTGAATGTATTCATTCAGTTAAACTGGATGCAAGTGAACCATAACTTTCACAATTCGTTTTTATTTTATTTTCCATAATAATCTAATGGATATGGCAAATTGGCAATGATGGCATGGTAGTGAAAACAAAGGAAGTGGGTTGCAAATATAAAAATAGATTCCCCACCATAGTCAATCATTGCGGTGCCAGCGTGACACCTCAAACCTTTTCCCTTGTCGTTTCAAATTTTAAAAAAAGATAAGATAGTGATAGTCTGCACATACGGTATGTCGTCTGTTAAGATTGGGCCTCCACCCAGCCCAGTAAAAGCCCATCCAAAAGATGCGGAGAATAATCACCCACTACTTAAAGACCTCCGTCGAGAAAATAAAACAAACTGCAGACCACTCAGACCAGAGAGTCAAGAGTAGAGAGAGAGAGAGAGAGAGAGATAGAGAGGAAATGGGGGATTTATACGCTTTGGATTTTGATGGAGTTTTGTGTGATAGCTGTGGAGAGAGCTCCCTCTCTGCTGTGAAGGTTGTGTTTTGTGTTTGCGCATTTTTACAAGCTTGAAAATATTTGCTTGATTGATTGTTTAATTTGTTTGAATGGTGGTTATGTGTAGGCTGCTAAAGTGAGATGGCCAAGTTTATTCAACGGTGTGGATTCAACTTTGGAGGATTGGGTTGTTGAGCAGATGCACATAGTAAGTCCTCCATATAATAATTACACAAATTTTATGTATATAATGTATCGTTTCTAGACTGTCGGACGTTAACCCGTGTTTGAATGAAGAAGGAATAATGAATTATGGTGTGGCAGGTGAGGCCTGTGGTGGAAACTGGATATGAGAATCTGCTGCTTGTGAGGTTGCTGCTGGAGGCGAGAATACCTTCTATACGAAAGTCATCGGTCGCGGAAGGGATTACAGTGGAGGGGATATTGGAGAAGTGGTCAGAGCTGAAGCCTGTGATTATGGAAGAGTGGGGTGAGGAGAGGGATGCTCTTATTAATCTTTTTGGAAAGGTCAGGGATGAGTGGATGGATGAGGACCTAACAACTTGGATTGGTGCAAATAGGTATCCAATTCAGACTTTTCTTGCAAAGGACCCATTTATTCATATACAAAAGACAATATCATTTTAAGGTTGTTTGATTTCAGATTTAATTTATTCTTGTTTAACATAAGGGTTTTTATCTCGAAACGTCCATGTGGTTCACGAAACTATTAATCCTTTATGCGGGGTTAACATGAACGTCAAGGACGTTTTGTGATTGGAAAAAAACCCCTTAACATAATTCTAGTCTCTTCTCAAACTTGTTGGGACTGGGAGGCTAACTTTTGCCCTTTGTCATTCTCTCACTTTCTTATTTCCTGTTCTTCTTTCACCTATTGCAGAGCCGATTTGCTGATGCTTTACTGCGAGAACTTGCAGGAGTTACAATACCGCCTGAAAGAATATTTGGTCTTGGAAGTGGGTTACTGGAAATTAACTTGATTTCAATCTGTGTTTGATTGTTTTGGTACTTATACCTGCGGTTGGTTTTCCCTAATGTGGAACTTTACCCTTATGTATTGAATTCCTCTTCCAGTCCCAAGGTAGAAGTATTGAAGCAGCTTCAAAAGAAACCAGAACATCAGGGGCTGAAACTGCAGTAAGATACTTTTCTGCTTCGTATTTGATATTTTTTTTTATAAGATACTAAATGCTCAGAATTTTCGATAATATACGCTCAACATTGACCAGCTTTGTCGAAGATCGACTGGCAACCCTAAAGAATGTGATCAAAGAACCTGAATTGGATGGTTGGAATTTGTATCTAGGTAAAATTTTCCGTTTACCCTTATTAAACACAGACTCTTTAACTTGTCTATTATATTGCTGTATGTGCTTCATTGTGGTAACCATTCGCTGCGGTTGCTAATTTGGGATGAATTGGATCAGGGGATTGGGGGTACAATACACAGAAGGAGAGGGAGGAGGCAGCTACAATTCCCAGGATTCGGATCCTTGAGCTTTCTGACTTCAGTAAGAAGTTGAAGTAGCTGTGAATGTATTCATTCAGTTAAACTGGAAACGACAAACTTCGTTGTCGGAGACTTAGAATCTTACAGTCAGAAATTTTATGTACTTCCTCTGTTGTAATCTGTTGAACAGAATTTGTCTCCTTTCAAACAAAGAAGCTGAGTATTATTGAAGTTGCTTCTGGTGAAATACTTACCTTTTACACCTGCAGGTGACTAACTGGGATATCCCGCACAGATGAGAAAATGGTAAATAGATGGCCTACTCTTGAGCAGTTTTTATGCACTGGTTCCATTAAAATAAATAGATAAAAACAGAATCTCGATAAATAATCATGTCTACAATTGTCATTTCGCATATCTGTCGGCTTCATCAGCAGCCTAAAATCAACTTGAATGGTAATACATGAATATTCGGAGTGGAGGTTGCTATGGAGTTAAAAAATGGTCATTATATTGCATGTCAGAAAACTTACAAGTATAGCTACATTTCCTCTTTCAAATGCCTATTACTCTCTGCTGGACTGTCATTCTCCACTCTCTTTTTCTCATTTTGGAGCTTTCTCAACAACTTCCTCCATAGGAGGATCTCCAGGTCTTCGAAAAACTTGATCGCCAATCTTTATTTCATAGGCATCAGGTTGGTTCAACGCAAACTCTTTCAACTGGAGACTAGAGGGAAAGAAAGGGATAAAACATTATAAGAACAAAAGAAAGCAGAAGCTCGTGCAAAAGCTCAAGACTTCAATCTTTTCTCTTTGTTGTGAAAAGCATTCTTAAGAAACGAAAGACATCTACAATCATGGAGCAATTTCTCCAGCAAGACACAAAGTGGGGGTGAAAGAAACATACCTCTGTCGTGTCTTGGCCTCGTTCCATGTTGAACATGATTGTGTTTAGATCAACACCCATGAATATCACCCCAAGAGCTCCAGTTCTCAGAACTTTAGTCCATTTTGTAGCCATCTCAGCTACTGTATCTTGCGAGGGGAAAAGATGCCCCTACTAACCCGAGGCTTATGAAATAAAAAAAGTTTGAAAAAACTCGTCCAGCCGCGCGGCTATACTATTTATTAAATATATTTCCAAAAAACCCCAAGTATACTATTTATTTTTTTATTTTTAAAAAAGGTGACCCGCCTAGCGCCTAGAACCTAACTGGGGGTTTTTTTATTTTAAAAATAGTATAGCCGAACGGCTATACTATTAATTTCAAAAAAATTTAAAAAACGGAAGTATAGACGACCGGCTAGACTCCTACCAATCATTTGACTTCTGATGCCGATATCAAGGTATCTTTGCTTTCATTAAGATTTCGACTTCTCTGCCTTCTCCTCACCCTCCTCATGGTGGTCGTTGTCACCAGCGGTCCAAATCTAAAGCCAAAGCACCCACCAGTGCAAATTGTTGTACATTCTTTACATCTTTTTCCTGAAAACTGTTTCTGCTGTAAATATGTTTGTATAGTTCCTTCTGAAGCTTCACTTCTGCAATTTTCATTTGTCACCTAAAGCACATCTCATAGCCAATCCATAAAAATGTACTTCCTACTTAATAAGCGATGTCTCTTGCAATTGGCTCCATCATTGAAACCTTGATTCTAAAGAAGCGTAATTTCTTTTCCTCTTTTTACATTTCATGACTTTTGATGAATTAGTGCACAAGTTGTTCAAATTAATGTCCTAGTGGTGTTATTAATATGTACATGTCTTTTTGTATAAATAGAAAAGCTAGTGCCGAGAGCAATATCCTCTCCCTTGTTTTTGCTCTGTTTTTTCCTTCTTCATTTCTATTGCTATTTGCTTGTGTTTATGAGACTGAGATACTTTATAGTCCAATGTAGAATACAGAAAACTTGATCCGGCCCAATGTATCATCAATTTCTCTTTTCTTCTGTTTAAAGACAAGTATTTTCTTTCTTACATAGACGAAAGATAATTACATATGTTAACTCAAATTCCATTGTTTTATTCATAACAGCAATACAGTAAAAGGCAATTCTGCGTCTACATTTCCTACATTGCGAAAGAAAAAAACATACACCATGAGGTACACAAGAACATCATAACAAATAGTTCATGGGAGAAGTTCCCGTTAAGTTCTTACAAATAACAGCACAACTAATATACTAAAATGGTTCCTTTATTTCAGTGAGATCCCTTATCATCACTCAAATACTCGAAAACTAGTACAAATAGGAGTCCTTCATCGCATCCATCTTCAACTGAAGGGAAGCATGTCGTCTCAAAGGTGCCTGCGCTAAAGACAAAGGTTAAACAACCCATAAGATTGAAAAAGATAAATCACATAAACTAAGGGACCATTCGATAACCATTTCAATTTTAGTTTTTAATTTTCATTTCTTATGCTAGATAATAGAGGGAAAAGAGGGAGAATAGAGGATGGGGAATGAGTAACAAAAGTAAAAACAAAAACTAAAAAAATGAAATCTATTTGAAATTGTTTTAACTTTTTTTTTTTTTTTTTTAACTTTTGTTACTCCTCCCTCCCATCCTTACTCTCATTTTCCTCCATACTCTAGCACAAAAAATGAAAACTAAAAACAGAAATTGAATTGGTTATCAATCATGCCCTAAATTAGTCACGCACACATCCTCACTCTCGATCCTAGACTCATAGTCTAGGATTATAACCATTGAACAAAAATCATGCATGCATGTTCAATTTATATAGCAAAAGATAGAGAACATTCATGTTTCCTTTGATTTGATATTACTTATGTTCTGTAATATCTGCATGTATATTCAGGGTTAAGAACAACTAACTTGCATGATTTAATTTCATAACTAGTATGTAAGAAAGATAGTAGTAATTACCATTTATTTATTAAGGATCCTTTGCCTGATGATTTCTGCCTTCACGTACAGCCAATCGTTCAGAAAGGTCAAGAAATTGAAGTACGTATATCTGCATGACATGTTGAGAAAAAGAGTGCCACAAACTCCCCAAAATCCAACAACAAACCCAAACCCCATGCTGATGTAAAATCCTTGTCTTATGAGCCCATCTTTATCGTCTTCATTCACCAACACAGGTTGTCCTGGACCTTTTTCCTCCTCAGAGCATGTCCTTGGGAGTGGTTCTCCACAAAGCAGAGGATTTCCACCATAAGCAGAGTCAAAGGTTTGGAGCTGAGTGCCTATAGGAATTTTTCCAGACAAGTTGTTTTCTGACAAGTCCAAGTAACCAATACGATTTATCTGAGAAATACTTACTGGAATTCTGCCATTTATCTGGTTTCTTGATAAATCAAGAGAATCTAACTCTTGCAAATTTCCAATCCTTGAAGGTATTTGACCTATTAATCGGTTTCTCGACAAGTTTAAAGAAACCAAACCAACAAGATAAGTGATTTCAGTAGGAATCTCCCCACTCAACTTATTACATGAGAGATCAATACTCTTTACAAGTCCCAGAATACTTTTGTATTTTGACCTTACTCCTTTCCATATTAAAGATGTTTCATCATCATAAGGCAACAAATAGAATGATTCTCCTGACTGAAAAATATTCAAATGTTCGATACTTGGACTTGAATGTCCATTTTGAGCCAAAGTAGTCCAAGTGTTGAGACATTTGGGTATAGTTCCAGAGATGTTGTTCATCGACAAATCCAAAATTTGAAGTTTTGTAAGATGGCATAACTGTGGCGGGATGCTCCTATAAAACTGATTAGATCGAAGGATAATGATAGCCAAATTTAGCAGATTTTCTCCTAGCCATTCAGGTATTAATCCTGATATTTTATTTTCCCCGACATCAACAAGTTTCAAATCTCTGCAATTCTTCATTTGTGAAGGCAACTCTCCCACAAATCTGTTGTTATTTAGGTTTAGTGTCTCGATATGAATCAAGTGTCCCATCGTAATAGGAATTTTCCCAGATAAAGAGTTGTTGCTCAAATCAAGAAAGAGTAATTGTTGAAAATGAATCCAGCAATCTGGAAGTTCTCCGGATACATGGTTGCTTGAGAGATCAAGATAGGTTAAATGACTCTCCTTTGTTGTACTTGTACACAAAAATGAAGCTGACCCTGAAAATTTATTATTGGACAGATCTAGAATTGATACGTTTGATAGGATTGACGGGATTGGACCCTCCAATTGGTTCCAACTCACATTTAAATAATTAGATGCTAACTCTGATCTCAAATTTCCTCTAATTTGATTGTGAGACAAATCCATATACTCGACTTTATTTTGCAAATCCCCCAACCAAGTTGGAATGGTATCAGAAATTCCAGAATCAGAAATATCCAGCCAGTAATAACTTTTCTGAGTTCGAAGCCATTTCGGGAAATACGGCCCCATCTTACAAGACCCCAATCCTATCTCATACAATTGAAAGGGAGGAACCCAATCAAAACTGAAGTTTAAAACTAGTGAGTTAGAAGATAAATCCAAAACCCTTAATTTGGAGAGTTTTGAGAAATGAGTTTCTGAAATGACTCCTTGAAAAGAATTCATACGCAAATCGATAAACTCCAGATTGGACATCTGTCCAATACTTTCAGGTATTCTTCCACTCAATTTATTTTCCGAGAGATCAAGATAAACAAGGTTGGTATAAGTACCGGGCAACAGTGGGAAGATTGATGAGTTAAGATTGTTTTTGTAGAGATCGACATAAACAAGAGATTTAGAAGAATTCAAGAGAGAAACATAGGATATAACTGGAGGAGGAAGATTACACCCGTATAATGTCAAATTTGTTAGCTTAGGAAGCATATTAACTGCTTCCAGCCAACCAACAGCATCACTGAGATTAACGAAACTTAGGTCCAAGTATTTTAGACGAGAAAGAGTAGGAAGCCAATAGAGATTTTTAGAATAAATAGAGCCAGGAGGAATATCTTGATGAAGATCGAGATAATGCAAGTTTCTAAGGTTTCCAAGTTGATATGGAATTAAACCTCCAAAATTTGCATGAGAGAGATCGAGGAATCTTAAATTGCTCAGAGATCCAATGAAATCTGGAATTTGGCTCCCATTGAAATCAATCCCACTAAGGTCCAAATGTTCCAAATGCTGCAACTCAATGAGTTTAGGACTAATCTTACCTCGCAAACCACGGAGTCCAAGATCAAGCTTAACAACATGGCCAGTTTGGTTGCTGCAGTGGACTCCATCCCATTCGCAGCAATCTTTGTTTTGGTTGCCCCAGGAAAGGAAGGGATCGCCGAAGCTGTAGTAAGTCACGAGACCTTGTTTAAGTGCAAGGAGTGCTTGCCTTTCCCTCTCGCTGCATCCAATGCAAGGATTGTTCATGTGTAGTAAAATCAGAACCACAATTGCATAGAGGAGTTTGAAGCAGCACCTTACTCCAACCATGTTAGTTAGAGTCATGTTGAAGACGAAGAAGCACAAGTATTCAGACAAAGATAAAGGCACAACCAAAACTGGTGAAGTATATATGCTTGTCTGATATCTCAAGATACAAGCATTAATTGTGTATTTATAATCGTTACCATAGCCTCAACTCCTGTACAATAATTCTACTAAAACACATGATTCACGAAGGGAGACTTTCCTCCTAGTGAACTACAGTGTGAACCCCTGAAATTTCCACCGTTTGTCAGAAGTAAACGGTGTTTATTTTGGGCTTCTCTTCCCCAGGAAGGGAGGGGATGGATGTCGTCAGCCACGAGACCTTGTTTAAGTGCAAGGAGTGCTTGCCTTTCCCTCTCGCTGCATCCAATGCAAGGATTGTTCATGTGTAGTAAAATCAGCACCACAATTGCATAGAGGAGTTTGAAGCAGCACCTTACTCCAACCATGTTAGTTAGAGTCATGATCAAGACGAAGAAGCACAACTATATTCAGACAAAGATAAAGGCACAACCAAAACTGGTGAAGTATATATGCTTGTCTCATATCTCAAGATACAAGCATTAATTCTGTATTTATAATTCTACTAAAACAAATGATTCACATGGGTGAGTCTTTGCGAAATTTTGAATTTCTGAATAACCTAAAGGCGTCTATTATTAGGGGCATTGACAAATCAGTCCAGATTCAAGGTCCAAAGAACAAAAATGCTGCAGGTCTAAAAAAGTGGCCAAATCGGTCCATATACGCAATGAGTCTTGTATGTCAGCATTAAATATGCACCCTATTTACATCAATGCCACTGGGTAATGATACAAACAAACCCTGCCATATACTATTCCTTTTTGAGATATATATACGCATTCAGACAAAGAGATAAAGGCACAACCAAAACTGGTGTAGTATATATGCATTAATTGTGTATTTATAATCGTTACCATAGCCTCAACACATGATTCACGAAGGGAGACTTTCTAATGCACCAAACATGGGTCACGAAGGGAGACTTTCTAATGCACCAAACATGGGTCACGAAGGGAGACTTTCTAATGCACCAAACATGGGGTTCACATTGTTTTAAGATTGCAAAATCTATGAATTAAGTGTGTCCACTTCATGATGTATTCACGTCGTCTTCTCTGTCTCTCTATGCCACTATGATTTGACACCGTGGCATGAAATGGACTATATTATCCTCTTCTTCATGTCATATTTTCTATCACAATTCACCAACCTACCTTTTTCCAGAATTTATATTTTTGATTTCTGCCACAATAAAAATAGTACCAATTTATGGCTTTTCATGGAAGTGGTCTAGGAATTTTGATGTATGGAAGTGATTTTTGATGGAAGTCATGTAGGGGTTAATATGATAATTAGGGACTACGAGTGACACAAAAAAACTTTAAGGACGCAATCTAATAGTTTCGCAAATGTCAGAGACATTTTATTATAAAAAGCCTAAATCATCTTTTGCCATCAGAGTTACCAAAAAAAACTAAAATCTTTGTTGCCATTAACTGACAAAAAGCCTAAGTTTTATTCATTCACTAACTGATCTTTGTTGCCATTTACTGAATTGGTGTTATCTTTTAAATCTTTTTATTATAACCTCGATGAAAAGAGGATAATTTATTTATGAACAAATCAATACATCAATGTGGACATAAAACGAAACTTGGAGAACAAAACAAATAAGATATAAGTAAATGACCAATACATCGATGGGGACATAAAGCCTAATTTCTTCGTTTCTGTTTTGTCATAGCTTTCCCTAGAGGGTTGCATAAATGATGAAATTTTATCATGCCTTGCTGCTTACAGTTTCATTTTCTTGCACGTGGAAAACTTATTAAGTTGTCCATGAGAACTAAGTTAACAAGTGCCCACTATAACAGGTTCAATTACAGTTCATATTAGAAAGATTAACTAGGTTCATTAATTATATTCATGTGCATAGAGCCATATATGAACTTTCAATATGTCATTGTCTTTTCTCGATACATGTTGGATATCATTAACTTGAATGGCATTTTATGCATTACTATATCCATTCAATGAGTTGTAATATTGTGGCATTTCAGATCATTCCATTTCATTTGAACTTTGTACGAGGTTTCGTTTCTTGGTTGGTCTTGAATCAAGACTCTTGATTGTTTATTTTGTTGTATTACACTTGATTTATGAAAGACTCTCAATGTTGATACCGAATCATACCGATCTCATTTGGGTCCAGTATGGTTTGAATGTGTTTTCAAAAACTCTCATCCCGTGTTATCCCATCTTGATTCTCCTATTCGAGATTAACACCGAGATGACCTCCATCCCGTGTCATCTCATACCATGCCCAGCCCTATATCATATCACAACAACCACCCAATCCAAAGCCACCCTCACCACCACCATTCCAATAAAAAGCCACTGCCCAACAACCAACTCTTACCACCCTCCAATCACAAAACTTCTCAAGACACCCCAAGATGAAATTCAATTTTGGTTATTATAAAAAATAAAACCAATGAGAAGGGTAAAATCAGAATGATGAAATCTGAATAGATAATGAATTAAATCAAAATACAGGTGTTAACAATACAAAGAAGGGACATCGAGGACACACAAAATAGAGACAGCAGATCCGCTCTGATACCCACAGTGGAGCGGATAAACTTGGGATTTCCAGGACATGAGGAACCAGCAAAAGAGAAAAGCCATATTGGATCTATGGACGTTTGTCAATTGTGAAATCATGGCAGATCTAGTACTGCAGCGATGACAGTGGTGCGGCTAGGATGATGTTAGGGGTTGGTTGTTAAACAAATTAATTAAATAAATTTTAAAAAACATAAAAAAACTGATTAAATTAAAATAGAGATGATCCATGTCATGTGACACATCGGTTGGTAATAAAAAGTTGGTGTTTAAGTTGGTGTACGTAGCATTACTGATATTAAAATTACATTTGTTTTACAATTCAATATATCCTTTTTGGTCATTTAATATTAGGGTAAATTAGTAATTCAATAAATAGTTTGGTAGTAAGGTGTACTCAGTTAATTTTAGGGTTCATTTAGCAGCACTCTAAAATAAACTAAAAAAAAAAATCAAAGAAGCCCAATTTCACCATTCAAAGTTGCATCCTTCTGATCAACCACATCAACACGCATTTGCTGTAGTAGTATGTGTCGAAGTGATGGCATGAAAAGGAACCCACAATTATCGTTAGGGCACACAACGTTAGCAACTCTGGTCCAAGATGAAACACATGTGAAGAAACAACAATGGCTTGAAACTGATGCAGGAAGTAAAAAGATTAAGGGAGAGCGGGGAGATATGGCGGATCTGCCATGGGTGAGGATGAAAACGGCAGAATTGGGGATGAGCCCTTTTCTTTAATTATTTTTGTAATAATTGTTTTAAGATGAGAAGGGTAAAATCGAGATGATAAAATGTGAATAAATGATGTGTTAAATCATAAGACAGGTGCCAACATGACAGATGCATACACACAGATCCGCTCCCATACACACAGACAGGTGCCAACATGAATGCCATCCTTCATCCGAGTTAACATGAACGCCATGGGCGTTTTGTGATTTAAGAAAAAAAAACCCCTTAACATAATTCTAGTCTCTTCTCAAACATGTTGGGACTGGGAGGGCTCAATGCATATCTAAGTAGGAGATAATTTGCTTGCAGATTATATCCAGGTGTTCCTGATGCTCTAAAATTTGCGAGCTCAACCATATACATTGTCACCACAAAACAGGTGTGAGTATCTTTGTTTTCTCTTTCTGACACAATCCAATTAAAGACTGAAAATGTTGTGGTTGCTGTAAATGTAAACTTTTGCCCTTTGTCATTCTCTCACTTCCTTATTTCCTGTTCTTCTTGTTGTGCGCAGCGGAAGCGGATTGCACTGGGTGGACAATACGGAACCGTTGAAACAAACAAGACAAATATGAAAATAGCAAAATCCAAGAGACACAAGGATTTATACTGGTTCGGCCCGTGTGTAGCCTACATCCAGTTCGAAGATAGCGAGAAATTCCACTAGTATCCCAAAAGAGATTACAAACAAATGAGATTAAACACTCTCACCTATCCTAGGAATTATAGAGTTTAACTCTCACAACCCAAATCCCAAATACACCCAAGTCACACTCTCACAACAATTGAAAAGAAAGAACAATTTTTCTCTTCTTCTCACACTTGGTTGTGATTGCTTACAAGAGTGTGAATGCAAGCTTCAACTATTCATATGTTGGCTACCAAACTCAACAATGGATGGCTACCAAACTAGCCACACATTTTGACCTCATAGCAAGCCAACATTTACTCACATGGGCAACTCCAATGGTAAACCAATATTGACCCACATGCCAAATTTGAGCCAATTTCAACAATCTCCACCTTGGCACAAATTTACCAAGCCACGGTAGAACTTTCTGTCGCCCATCTTCCTCTTACCAAATCAAGCTCAACATTCCTTGAACTTGTAACCCAAAAATGTGTGCTTCGATCGAACCAGATGACCCGAACAGAAGAACCTCTTCAATGTCACCCACATAACCAAGCCACACCAGCTGAATGTACGTGCATAAACCGCACAAAACCTTAAACGCTTGAACCTCAAGCTTCTTCCGCTACAGTACACGCAAACTCTAGACAACCAAGTAGCAGGAACGAACAATTTCAGCTGCCCAAAAGAGGGAATTACCCTCCCAAAGATAACCCCTTAAAAAAAAAAACCCAATTGGCAAACCCCAATTGAAAATCAGATGAAGAAAGGAAAAAACAATCCAAAAGTAACCAACAATGTTACATGGAGGAAAAATAGCAAACAACCCAAAACTCACAAAAAAACACAAATTCTTGGAACACCGTGAGGGGAAATTTCCAAAAAAAAAAAACAACCAAAGACAAATAAAAGATCACACCCTAAACAATGGCACACTGAAAACATCAATCATAGGGCGAACTCAAATTCGTCCTCCCCGGCGATATTCGCAGAAGCACTTGCATTATTAGATCCCTCATTTTCTTTGATTAATGGGCAATCGACTTTCCAATGCCCTTCTTTGTGACAATAGTTGCATTTGCCCTTCCGAGCCTTCCCTCTGGAACGCGAATTCCCTCCACCACTGCTTGATTCTGTTTCTTTACCCTTGCCTTGAACCATCAAAGCCTCTGTTCGACTCTCAGTCGAGTTCTCCGACATCTTGTTCTTCAACTCGCGAGAATTAAGCGATGCCTTAACATCCTCCATAGTCACAGTATCTCTACCATACAACATGGTCTCCACAAAATTGCCATAAGAATTAGGTAAAGAACACAACAAAATCAAGGCTTGATCCTCATCATCAATTTTCATATCCATGGCCTTCAAATCCATGATAATCTTGTTAAGCTCATCAAGATGGTTTTGAATAAGTGTACCTTCTGCCATACGAAGGGTGTACAATCGTTGTTTCGTATACAACCGATTTGCAAGCGATTTGGTCATGTACAAAGTCTCCAATTTCAGCCATAACTTCGCAGGAGTAGTCTCATCAGCCACCTCACGGAGAACAACATCCGCTAACTGCAACTGAATTGCAGAGAGTGCCCGATCCAAGGCATCATCCTTCTCCTCGTCAGACCACGTTTGTGGCAAGACTTCCTTACCCTTTAGCGCTTTGAACAGCCCCTGTTGCACTAACAAGGCTCTCATCTTCACACGCCAAATACTGAAGTCGTTCCTCCCATCGAACACAGCTATCTCATACTTTGTCGATATGTTTCCAGGTTTCATCATCACGAACACAAAACTCCCAAGTCGAAACTTGGAGCTCTGATACCACTTGTTGTGCGTAGCGGAAGCGGATTGCACTGGGTGGACAATACGGAACTGTTGAAACAAACAAGACAAATATGAAAATAGCAAAATCCAAGAGACACAAGGATTTATACTGGTTCGGCCCGTGTGTAGCCTACGTCCAGTTCGAAGATGGCAAGAACTTCCACTAGTATCCCAAAAGAGATTACAAACAAATGAGATTAAACACTCTCACCTAGTCTAGGAATTACAGAATTTAACTCTCACAACCCAAATCCCAAATACCCCAGTCACTCACACACAAAAGGTGCAGCAGCAAAGACACAATATTGGTGCATACGGCTTGCACCTCTGACAAGAACACTATCTCACCTATTGTGCTTACCAAAACTGCCCACTCTTTGTCTCTCTGCCAAGCCTTCATTATATAACCAAGAACTTGGTCCAACAGCTGCATGAGTACCTTCAAAGTCCTCCACAGAACAAGGGACATTAATGCACTGGAACAACTCAACCACCAGCATTGGAAAGGAAACCAGCCGCTCCTCTTTGCTGCCAACGAAGTCCCTAATGAAGCATAGCTCTGGTTGGCTTCTCAAGGAACCCAAGAGCCAAAAGTAGTAGCAATAATGAAAAGATTATTCTAAACTTTTGCCCTTTGTCATTCTCTCACTTTCTTATTTCCTGTTCTTCCTTCACCTATTGCAGAGCCGATTTGCTGATGCTTTACTGCGAGAACTTGCAGGAGTTACAATACCGCCTGAAAGAATATTTGGTCTTGGTAGTGGGTTAGTGGAAATTAACTTGATTTCAATCTGTGTTTGATTTTTTTGGTACTTATGCCTGTGGTTGGTTTTCCCTAATGTGGAACTTTACCCTTATGTATTGAATTCCTCTTCCAGTCCCAAGGTAGAAGTATTGAAGCAGCTTCAAAAGAAACCAGAACATCAGGGGCTGAAACTGCAGTAAGATACTTTTCTGCTTCGTATTTGATATTTTTTTTTATAAGATACTAAATGCTCAGAATTTTCGATAATATACGCTCAACATTGACCAGCTTTGTCGAAGATCGACTGGCAACCCTAAAGAATGTGATCAAAGAACCTGAATTGGATGGTTGGAATTTGTATCTAGGTAAAATTCTCCCTTTACCCTTATCAAACACACTCTTTAGCTTGTCTATTATATTGCTGTATGTGCTTCATTGTGGTACTCATTCGCTGCGGTTGCTAATTTGGGATGAATTGGATCAGGGGATTGGGGGTACAATACACAGAAGGAGAGGGAGGAGGCAGCTACAATTCCCAGGATTCGGATCCTTGAGCTTTCTGACTTCAGTAAGAAGTTGAAGTAGTTTCTTTTCATACTGTTCTTCTTCTTATTCCCTATCCAGCTGTGAATGTATTCATTCAGTTAAACTGCACACGACAAACTTCGTTGTCGGAGACTTAGAATCTTACAGTCAGAAATTTTATGTACTTCCTCTGTTGTAATCTGTTGAACAGAATTTGTCTCTTTTCAAACAAAGAAGCTGAGTATTATTGAAGTTGCTTCTGGGTTTTCATTCTAATCAATGGTGAAATACTTACCTTTTACACCTGCAGGTGACTAACTGGGATATCTCGCACAGATGAGAAAATGGTAAATAGATGGCCTACCTACTCTTGAGCAGTTTTTATGCACTGCTTCCATTAAAATTTATAAATAAAAACAGAACTACGATAATTAATCATGTCTACAATTGTCATTTCGAATATCGTCAGCTTCATCAGCAGCCTAAAATCCACTTGAATAGTAATACATGAATATGCGGAGTGGAGGTTGCCATGTCAGAAAACGTACAAGTATTAACTACAATTCCTCTTTCAAATGCCTATTGCTCTCTGCTGGACTGTCATTCTCCACTCTCTTTTTCTCATTCTGGAGCTTCTCAACAACTTCCTCCAAAGGAGGATCTCCAGGTCTTCCAAAAACTTGATCGCCAATCTTTATTTCATAGGCCACGGGTTGGTTCAACGCAAACTCCTTCAACTGGAGGCTAGAGGGAACGAAAGGGATAAAACTGTTGTAAATTGGCTCAATTTTTTGGTTTGAATTAATTGTGTGTTCTTTGATTTGTGACCCTTGGGATTGTCAAGGGGCACTTAGAGGGTTAAGTGATCAAAGAGACACAAGGCAGCCAAAGGTCAAGCACTTCGTGGGTTGGTTCTGGCCATTTGAGAAAGAATTCTTTCTTTCTTTAATGTCTCCAAGTTGGTGAGGAGTGCAGCAACTCACGTGGGCATGCTGTTAAAGGGATGGTCTTTTGTCAAATAGAGGAAACAAGGCCATGTGAAGCAGCTGGAAAAGAGAAAAATGAGGGCTGCTGATGGAGCATGGCTCAAGGCATCTATATGGGCTGCTAATGGTGCATGGCTAAAGGCTTTTTTGACTGACCATCACGTGGCCTCCCTTTGCATGCGGTTGCTCTCTTTTTGAGAGTTGCTGCGTGGGTTTATAAAAGGGAGAAAGGGAGCATGCAATAGAAAAAAGGAGGGGGCAGTGCAGGTGTGCCGCACCAAAGGCTTGGGTGTGGTCAGCATGCCTCACCACCATAGAGAGGTGTGGAGATAAACTCCTCTTTGGCTACATGAGATGTTGAAGGAAGATCAAGCCATTCCAAAGGTTGAGTCTTCTTCATTTGTTCCTTGTGTTTGTGGGAGGTTTATTTCTGTGTATTGTTCTTAGTGTGTTCTTTCCTAGTGAGCAAGAACAATCCCTGTGTTCTTGGCTCTTGTGTGTAGTTAGCCTGAGTGACTTGGGTGTATTTGGGATTTGGGCTGTGAGAGTTAAACTCTGTAATTCCTAGGATAGGTGAGAGGGTTAATCTCCTTTGGTTGTAATCTCTTTTTGGGATACTAGTGGAATTTATCGATGTCTTCGAATTCGAACTGGATGTAGGCTATACACGGGCTGAATCAGTATAAATCCTTGGTGTCGATTGGATTTTCTGTATTTCATATTTTGCTCTTGTTGTTTCAATGGTTTCATATCCACCATTCCAGTGCAATCCGCTTCCGCTGCACACAACAAAAACATTATAAAGGTATCTTTTGACTTCTGATGCCGATATCAAGGTATCTTTGCTTTCATTAAGATTTCGACTTCTCTGCCTTCTCCTCACCCTCCTCATGATGGTCGTTGTCATGATCCGTCCAAATCTAAAGCCAAAGCACCCACCAGTGCAAATTGTGGTACATTCTTTACATCTTTTTCCTGGAAACTGTTTCTGCTGTCATCTGTTTGTATAGTTCCTTCTGAAGCTTCACTTCTGCAATTTTCATTTGTCATAAAGCACATCTCATAGCCAATTCATAAAAATTTACTTCCTACTTAATAAGCGCTGTCTCTTGCAATTGGCTCCATCATTGAAACCTTGATTCCAAAGAAGCGTAATTTCTTTTTCTTTTTTAACATTTCATGACATTTGATGAATTAGTGCACACGTTGTTCAAATTAATGTCTAGTGTTGTTATTAATATTTACATCTTTTTGTATTAATAGAAAAGCTAGTGCCGAGAGCAATATCCTCTCCCCTGTTTTTGCTATGTTTTTACCTTCTTCATTTCTATTGCTATTTGCTTGTGTTTATGAGATTGAGATACTTTATAGCCCAATTTTGAATACAGAAAACTTGAGCAAGCCCAGTGTATCATCAATTTCTCTTTTCTTCTGTTTTAAGACAAGTATTTTCTTTCTTACACAGATGAAAGATAATGACATGTTAACTCAAATTCCATTGTTGTACTCATAATAACAATACAGTAAAAGGCAATTCTGCGTCTACATTTCCTACATTGCGAAAGAAAAAAACATACACCATGAGGTACACAAGACCATCATACCAAATAGTTCATGGGAGAAGTTCCCGTTAAGTTCTTGCAAATAACAGCACAACTAATCTACTAAAATGGTTCCTTTATTTCAATGAGATCCCTTATCATCACTCAAATACTCGAAAACTAGTACAAATAGGAGTCCTTCATCGCATCCATCTTCAACTGAAGGGAAGCATGTCATCTCGAAGGTGCCTGCACTAAAGACAAAGGTTAAACAACCCATAAGATTGAAAAAGATAAATCACATAAACTAAAGGAACGTTTGATAATCATTTCAATTTCAGTTTTTAATTTTCATTTCTTATGTTCTGTAATATCTACATGGATATTTGGGGTTAAGAACAACTAACTTGTATAATTTAATTTCATAACTAGTATGTAAGAAAGATAGTAGAAATTACCATTTATTTATTAAGGATCCTTTGCCTGATGATTTCTACGTTCACGTACAGCCAATCGTTCAGAAAGGTCAAGAAATTGAAGTACGTATATCTGCATGACATGTTGAGGAGAAGAGTGCCACAAACTCCCCAAAATCCAACTGCAAACCCAAGCCCCATGCTGATGTAAAATCCTTGTGTTATGAGCCCATCTTTGTCATCTTCATTCACCAACACAAATTGTCTTGGACCTTTTTCCTCCTCAGAGCATATCCTTGGGAGTGGTTCTCCACAAAGCAGAGGATTTCCGCCATAAGCAGAGTCAAAGGTTTGGAGCTGAGTGCCTATTGGAATTTTTCCAGACAAGTTGTTTTCTGACAAGTCCAAGTAACCAATACGATTTATCCAAGAAATACTTATTGGAATTCTGCCATTTATCTGGTTTCTTGATAAATCAAGAGAATCTAGCTCCTGCAAATTTCCAATCCTTGAAGGTATTTGACCTGTTAATTGGTTTCTCGATAAGTTTAAAGAAACCAAACCAACAAGATAAGTGATTTCAGGAGGAATCTCCCCACTCAACTTATTGCATGAGAGATCAATACTCTTTACAAGTCCCAGAATACTTTGGTATTTTGACCTTACTCCTTTCCATGTTAAAGATGCTTCATTTATATAATCCCACAAACTATACGCATGTTCCATAGTTAGAGTTGAACTTCCTTTTTGAGCAAAAGTAGTCAAATTGTTGAGACATTTGGGTATAGTTCCAGAGATGTTGTTCATTGACAAATCCAAAATTTGAAGGTGTGTAAGATGGCATAATTGTGGCGGGATGCTCCTATTAAACTGATTAGATCGAAGGATAATGATAGCCAAATTTAGAAGATTTTCCCCTAGCCATTCAGGTATTAATCCTGACAATTTATTTTCCCCAACATCAACAAGTGTCAACTCTCTGCAATTTTTCAATTGTGAAGGCAACTCTCCGACAAATCTGTTATTATTTAGTTTTAGTGTCTTGATGCTAAACAAGTATCCCATCGTGGTAGGAATTTTCCCAGATAAAGAGTTGTAGCTCAAATCAAGAAAGACTAATTGTTGAAGGATCCAGCAATCTGGAAGTTCTCCGGATACGTGGTTGTTTGAGAGATCAAGATATCTTAATTTATTGTCCTTGGTTGTACTTGTACACAAAAATGAAGCTGACCCTGAAAATTTATTATTGGACAGATCTAGAGCTGATACGCTTGATAGGATTGAAGGGATTGGACCCTCCAATTGGTTCCAACTCACATTTAAATTATCATATGCTAACTCTGATCTCAAATTTCCTCTAATTTGATTGCGAGACAAATCCATATATACAAATTTATTTCGCAAATCCCAAAACCAAGTTGGAATGATATCAGAAATTCCAGCATCAGAAATATCCAGCCGATCATACCTTTTTTGAGTTCGAAGCCATTTCGGGAAATACGGCCCCATCTTACAAGACCCCAATCTTATCTGATACAATTGAAAGGGAGGAACCCAATCAAAACTGAAGTTTAAAACTAGTGAGTTAGAGGATAAATCCAAATACCTTAATTGGGAGAGTTTTGAGAAATGAGTTTCTGATATGACTCCTTCAAAAGAATTCATACTCAAATCGATGAAATCCAGATTGGACATCTGTCCAATATTTTCAGGTATTCTTCCAGTCAATTTATTTTTCGAGAGATCAAGAAAATAAAGGTTGCCGGGCAACAATTGGAAGATTGATGAGTTAAGATTGTTTTTGGAGAGATCGACTTGAACAAGAGATTTAGAAGAATTCAAGAGAGAAACAGAGGATATAACTGGAGGAGGAAGATTACACCCGTATAATATCAAGTCTGTTAGTTTAGGAAGCATATTAACTGCTTCCAGCCAACCAACAACATCACTGAGATTAACGACACTTAGGTCCAAGTATTTTAGACGAGAAAGATTAGGAAGCCAATAGAGATTTTTTGCATAAATAGAGCCAGAATAGTTAAAATCATCTTGATAACGAAGATCGAGATGTTCCAAGTTTCTAAGGTTTCCAAGTTGATATGGAATTAAACCTCCAAAATTTGCATGAGAGAGATCGAGGTATATTAAATTGCTCAGAGATCCAATGAAATCTGGAATTTGGCTCCCATTGAAATTATTCCCACTAAGGTCCAAATGTTCCAAATGCTGCAACTCAATGAGTTTAGGACTAATCTTACCTTGCAAATATTGGTCTTGAAGATCAAGCTTAACAACATGGCCAGTTTGGTCGC